ATTCTAAATAAATTTAATTAAATTTATCTTTACATAGATATTGTCAATTGTCAATGTCTTTTTTAGTTGAGTTCGTAAAAGAGAATTTTAATATGCAATTCATAATTATTGATTCAAGTGATGTGGAGTTTATTCTCTTTAATTAGAGGTATTAAATTCGAGCCCAAAAGAATATTGAAAAAATCACCCCTCTGTATGGATGTGATTATGCTTGAATCAGATTAAGTCAGATAAATAAATTGATTGAAAATAAAAAGTTTAATATAAAAACTCGTTTTTATGAAAGCTCTTAAAATGTCCAAACCCGAGGCTAATACAAAGTGATAAACGTAATATAAGTCATTTAGATAAGCTTATTACATTTATATAAATGTAATATATGTTTCCAATATATATATATATATATATATATATATATATATATATAAATGTAATATACGTAAATAATTATCTTTACACCAGGAAAGAGATCGCTATGACAGTTTTAGAATCTTTTAGTGTATTATAAAAGAAAGAAAAAGAAAAACATTAAGGGACAAATATTTTGGATCAAACTTCTGATTTGATGAGGGTCTCTTTGTTATGTTCTGCCTCAGAACCTTTACCTATATTCTTTTTATCCTTCTATATATATATCCATCGGTCATTTTCACACATGAACTGGAAGGGATAACCTTAGCCCCATCAAAATTATGTCGTCAGTAGATTGGCTATAGTAATATATCATATACTAATAGCTCCGAAAAGATAACGCATATAGTCTCACTTATATAGTTCCAAAATTAATTTCCCCCATTCAAATAAAGCAGAGAGCTTTCCAAGTGTCTATAACAAGGGACGAGTTTAGTTATAACAATCATGCTTAAGTTTGGATATACACCAGAACATCAAAGTGGATTTTATCTCATTATTACCTAACTAAACACCAATCGTCTTTGCCTCTTCAATGATCCCCAAAGCAGCATGGCTTTCTTTATCTTTAAGAAAAATGGCTCCCCTGTTGACATTGCCACTGCTTTTTGGGAAGAAATAGACAAACCAATCCACACACCAATTAAAGTTTTCGTAAATAATACCAGTGTCCCACATGTACACCCACTCGACAACCACGTTGTTGTTTTCTAATTTGGCTTCCTTATCCCTGTGAGTTCTATTGCAAAGTTAAGTCTCCCATATCCCTACACAATATAAGATTCAATGCATAAAGCAAAAGTTTATGACTTTAATTATTAAACTCTCACGATTGCATATATTTAACCACTTTTAAACGTAAATGCTTAGCCATTAAATGGTGATATAGTGGAAATGCTAATCTCAATACGCATAGGACAATCAGTTGTGAAACATTTTTTTATTTGACCCCGCGTATACTTTATTTAATTTTAGGAGAGGGCCAACACTAAAGTGAATATTGATAAATGCTACACGTGTGGCTTTATGAAAAGGGGAGGGGAAATGAAATGAGAGTGAGAGTGACATATATACATTACAACCACTTTACTAATTAGACTATTTAAGAGTATATTTTTTTATTATATATGATAACTATATTTATATTTAAGATTTAATATTTCTCTTTCAATAAGAAACAATTATTTTTTGCTACCTCAAAATAATATCATTTTGAGATTTAAAAAAAAATATTTTGAAAAAATTTATATTATAATATAAAAGTAAATTCTTGAAATATCTTAAATTCTTTTCTCTAAACTCAAAACGACGTTATTTTGATATTATAATTTTATCTTATGAGAAATATCTTTCTCTTATATTTATTATTACTAATCAGTTTTCAATATCTATGAATTTCTATATTTTTTATTAATACCAATATTATTCTGAAAGAGAAACAGATACCAAAATATTTTCTTTATATACTGTCCACCGTTTTTTTATACAAGAGATTAAGGCTTACAAAATAAATTTTTATATAGTTCTGTTTTAAGATCTTCGTATTGAAGTCTAAAAAAAACAAAAGAAAAAAAAAAATCTTCATATTGATATTTAAAAAAAAGAAACACGTACGGATCCCGAGTTTTCAAATAGCACAATACATATTAGGGGTTTGCATTCATCATACAACATGACCACAAAAAGTTTACTACATACATAACATTTTGTGGAACCCAGATTTTTTGAAGCAAAAAAAAAAAAAAAAAAAAAACTACGACACGAAAAACGAATCTCTATAACATAACCCTATCATTTTTCCTACAACATAACTTTTATAACTTTTATGCAACCCTACATATCAAGTGCCGAAACTGAATTATCCAAGTCCAATAGTGATATGTATGATAGATTATTCTGTTAAATGATTGATTTTATGATCGTAATTTATGTGTGGCAAGCTGGCTTCCGTATATATTAAAATGAACATCGTTCATTTTTAAAGTGAGTTTTTACTTTAGAGAAAAATAAAATAAAAAAATCAATCATAAATGAAAAAAATACGTATTACAACACAAAACATACACACACATATATATATATATATATATATATATATATATATATATATATATAATTATAAATTTATTAAAATTTAGGGTTCGTTTTTCTGCAGTTACTGCAGATAAGTTATTTACAGTAAGCCCAATACAACGTCGTTTTGGGACGGAAATCATGATGTTTTTGTAATTTTAATTTATTTCAGGATTATAATAGTCCTTATATTTATAATTTTTTAAGATTTCAATACCAAAACGACGTAATTTTGAGAATAAATGCAGATAACTTATATGCAGTAACTGCAGAAACATTTTTCCTCTTAATTTTCCATCTTTTGCTTTTCTCATCCTCATGAACGGAAGCAAAACTTATTGGATATTGAAGGCTTATGTACCTATTGGTTTCATACATCAACCAAGTATTACAACATTTTTTTTTAGGAAGAAACTTAACCCTCGTTGCCTAGGAAAAAAAAAAGAGACTAAACAGAAAATAATCCTCCGTAATGCTTGATAAGACACACTCAGTTTAATTATACGGCACGTTTAGTACGAGAGATATTTTTTTTTACTGAGAAAAAAAGATAATTGAGGATTTGATAGGATTTTTTTTATCTCGGATAAGTTACGAAAAAACGTTTGGTTGACCAAAATTTTACCAGAAAATTAGATTCATTTTACTGATGTTATATTTGGTTGATGATAAAATATTGATGGAAATGTGAACTAAAAATACCAAAATACCCAATATGAAAAGTGATTCATATATCAAATGCTTTTGACTCAACATATTATATCAAAGTGGTTCATTTTCCTGTGCTCATATATCAGGAGGGTATTTTTTACTCAACATATTATATTCAAAATCTAAGACTATATGCTAAAAAAAATACCAAAGAATCAGTGGTATAATTATTTGTCTTTGTATAGTTGAAAAGGGAAATACTTATGAAAAATATTTGCTGGAATTTTTTTGACAATACTCATATCAAATATGGTAATTAAATATATCTCATCCCATTTCTCCATCATTCCATATCAAATACTCATACCAAACACCCTCATAGAGCAGGGAGATTGTCACCATCTCTCCCCATCAGTAATATTTACCCCCGAAATTTCTGGTTTTTCTTTTCATATACTCTCCACAAGATCCAAAACCGATAGTAGAATATGTTGAACTTTTGTTTGTATTTGAATTAAATGCATCCCCAATCTAGGAAATAATACATGTACAAGTGTAAGTAAATTTCATGAATTTTAAATGGGATAGGATATTATAATAATCAAGTAGTGTTACTACTAATTAATTTCACTGTTAGATCGATTATGTTGATCAACAGTTATATTTATTTCCATCTTTGTATGATTATAATTCTCTATATTTAATATTTTATATTTATTTTCACCTTTATATGGTTATGATTTCTCATATTTAATGCTTTCACTTTAAATATGAGGAATCATAACTATACAAAGATATAAATAAATATAATTGTTGGATCAATATAATCAATCTAACAGTGAAATTGATTGGTAGTAACATTACTTAGTTATTACAATATTTTTTCTCATTTTAAATAACGAGAATTGATTAATAGTGAGAAATTTGGATAATTTGCATGAGAAATAACAAATTCAAACCCAGTATCATTATTGTATTAAAAAAAATCATGAATTTCAATTCAGTTTTAATAAAATCAAAATTTAAATTTAAAATTACACCGAATAATATTACTATATTTATTTCAATATTATTCTATGGGTCAGATCATTTTATATTAATGTACTTCCGAAGCATTGGTTTTATTTTTATTACTCCAATTTTTTATATAAAAAATATTTAATACAAATGTATCAATCAACAACGGCCTTATTTTGACATATCAATGGCAGCCTTGATTGCAACTTACGAGTAGCACAGCCACGAGAACCACCATAAAGGCAGAAAGGACCAGTTCAGAGACAAGAAAGACTTACAGGTAAAACTTCAAAAATCATTGTATGAGTTTTCTTAATTATTATTTATCTTCTCATTTTATATTTTTATTTAGATTTTTGTTATCATTTATATTTCTGACTTAAATTTTCTTTATCACTTACTCCCTTCACTTAGAGAGGATAAATGATAAAGAAACTTTAAGTCAGAAGATAAATAATTTAAAATTTTAGAAAGAAAATAAATAATTATTAAAAAAATTAGAGGGATTTTTGAAGTTTTACGGAGTTAATAAATACAATATCCAACTCACCAACCTTGGAAAGCTGTACCTTAAATTTCTGCATTTAACCAAATGATGGACAAAACATAACGCTCTTGCTTTAGTCGCCTACTTTATTGTGCAAAGTTGAATTAGGTGCAAGCTTTATTGGGAACGGAGATATTCCTAACCACTATTCTCTCATTTCTCCCGTTTGGTACGAGGGATTATTTCAGATTCTTGGATAAAAAAAATTTCTACTCTACTAGATGTTACTGAGATTTTTGGATAAAAAAAATTATATTATTTTGATATTTTCCTTCCATTACCAACATTTGGAAACCCCAAATTACACAAAAAAAGAAGAGAGTTCAAAAGCACTAAAATTAAAGTTTAGTGAACTGAAACAAGATATTAATTAAAAACACAAAATACATCAATCAGATGATCTGGTCGTAGCACTAACTATGATGACACAGAGAGGGAAAAATATGTAGAAGGTGCTCGTGAGATATGGCTAGAAGCATATTAAGGTCCATTTTTTCATCTGTTCCAAAAGTTATGGTATGGTGACTCAAGAGTACTAGCCATTCTTTTTTGCAAGTTGAGATCTTTATAGAACTTGTTAATGAATTCCTCAGCTGCCATGTCCACTTTGCTATCCCCTTCGTCCTTTAACGGGAAGGGTGAGTCAGTTACTCGTAGTTGCCTCACAAGAGGGCTCTTCCCAAACCCAAACCCAGGTAATGTCACCGACGGGGAAGCTTCCACCTTCTCATTGTTCAACATCTCAAGCACCTTCTGAACTGCATTCAAGGTGGAAACGTCGTCGTATTGCTTTGACTTGGAGAATCGACTTAACTGATGGTGGTGGTGCTTGCGTTTATTGATGGCGGGGAGAGGGTTTGCAGGGCTATTGCTGCAGCTGAACTCATACTCTCGGGGAGAGATGAAGGAAAGGTGAGTGTCGTGGGAGTGGCAGGCGAAGGCGGCGAAGTGGTGGTGGAGCACGACGCTGTTGACTAAGGCCTTGCCGGCGAGTTTAACACGTTTGAGCATCCAATGGAACTCTACCATTATTTTGCTTTTGGCTATGCCTTTTCTCAACATGAAGAACAATACACGTACTATGTTCCATACCTTCTTTGCTGCCACTGGTGGGCTTGGCTCAATTTCCATTTTGTTACGAGTAACTCTGTCTTTGTTGTTTTTTTTTTTTCCCTCTCTTTAGAATGTGAGAGTGAGAGATATATAGAGAGAGAATAATCGATTGGAATGTTTTTTGGTCTGGAATGGGAGAGGAAGGGTTAGGAGGAGCTATTTAAAGCGGTGCAGTGCACTCTGCACTGTAATTATTATTATTATTTTTTTGGTAGAGTAATTATTATTAATTTAGTGAAGAAACTAATAGCAAATAGAATTATAGTTTCAACTGTACCAAAAAAAAAAAATTATAGTTTCAATTTTCAACTTTTATTATCTATGTAAGATGTAATATTTTACCGTGGTTGTTAACCGAATTCCATCTAACTAGAGGTCTATTTGGTTAACTATAGCGTAATTTATTATTATTAATTTATGATAAATGATTAAAAATGTATTTAATATAATTATCAAGAAATAAATAATTAACAACTTAGTTCAAATACGGATACATTTAAAGAAAGGTTATATCGGATTAATTATGGGGATTGGAGGTTCACGCGCTAGAAATGCTTCTGCATATTATAATGGATGAGAATGGTTGGAGTTATTTAAAACTGTCCCCTTGCTCTTTGTGCATAGCTGTAGCACCCTACCCCCAATCGTTCAATAATTGAAGAAATGATTTGGATGGTGCTCTACTCCTGCGGTCAAGGTTTACCATTTGCCTTGCAGACTAAGATAGTGTATAAAGCTCTGTATTAAAAAAAAGGAAAAAGAAAAAAAGATAGTGTATAAAGCATCTCAACCACGTAATCTTTACCCTCCTTTTTCATTTATATCTTTTTCCTCATCATTTCCTTTTTCATTTATATCTTTTTCTTCATCATTTGTTTAATCATTTCATTTTTCCTACATAAATTATCTGTAGTAAATTCAATACACATTGTTTTGGGATAGAAATTATGATATTTTTGTAATTTTAATTGATTTCAGAGTTATTATAGTCTTTATAATTATAATTTTTTAATATTTCAATCTCAAAACGACATCGTTTTGAAAATAAATGCACATAACTAACTACAGAAATATATTTCTGTTGTTTAATAATATAAAATTCCAGGAAAACGTGATAAACTGTGTTGAAAAACTAAATTACAGTTTTGCCCTTTAAAACAAAATAATTTTATTTATACATTTTTCATTTCCCAATTACGTTTAATTCTGTGAATGAGTTTTTTTTTTTTTTAAAAAAAAATCAAATTGTATTAAGTCGAATCAGAAGCAAGGATACCAAGAAGAAAAGAACGAGGATGTTAATTTCAAAATTCCCTTTACTGAGTGATGAACCCTTCGATTAATCTCCTTTACAACTCCTTGCAAAGGAAAAGCCAATAGATCGAAAAGAGCGACACACATCGTAGATATCTTTCAGCATAATGCCCCGATTTGAATCAGTTTCACCCGTCCAAAGACAAGTGATCGTCTTGCAATCCCTTTCAATACAATCATAAGAGAAGCATGATGGCTCCAGCCAATAAATTAAATACCCACCGTAGTACAAGACCGCTATTGATGCCAAATTACCAATATCACACTCGAAAGTATAACACCTTTAATATTAAATATCCCAACAAGACACTTTGCGAAAAATAAAAATCCCAATAAGACTTAACAAACTAAATTTCTTGCTCGTTCTGTATTTGTTGGTTATGTACCACTCGATTTTGATTAATATGACAAATAAATCATAGAAAAATGGGTCACGCAACATGTATTAGTATCACATGCTTGCAACTTGCAAGCCAATTAAAAGTGGAACACCTAGAAATGTCACGACAGAGTTGCAATCATGCATAAATAACAGCAATTACTTTGGACACATGACATTCTCGTGGAAGCCCGAATCAAAGATGAACCATACGCATATGAATTCGTGAAATTGTGTAAAATGATTGAAAACTTGCTCTTGTAGGGATCAAATTTAGCACATGATGAGTGATGCATTCAACTTTTATCACTAAATTAATTTTATTTGTATGTTATGTTTTTAAATTTATATCTATTATATATTATTATTATTATATAAATTTAATTCAACTACTTCGATCAATTATTAGTGGGTTGAGCTACTGAATCAATGACTTATTAATACTTTGACCGAAGATCAATCAAAGTTTGTAATACTTTTTTATTTTTTCTTTCTTTTTGATTAATCAAGTTTAGGTGGGGTTAGACACTGGTATCTCATAGGGTCAGAGCAGATCTCCTCATCTCATTGAGAATTTCTGGGAGAAATTACAGATCAACCACCAACAACGCCCTCACATTGGTCAGCGGGATTCGAACCCACACGCTTATGGAGTATGAATTAAATCCTTAACCAACTATATCTACGGCAACTCTCTTCTATTTTAAACTAGCCAATACCACGATGAGGTTATGGGTTCAATTTTCATATACCGCACCAGTGAATTGGACTATATTTTCTATTCAACATTAGAAGATGAGGTAACAAGAAAAAAACGTGAGGTTTACCTACTGGTATGAGGGATGATCTCAATCATATTTGGTCAAGGGGCCATGGAGCTTATGCGATCACAAGTACGACAGAACAAAAAAAGAGAAGCATGTAAGGGCTGCATGTCACAATCAAGAGATACACAATTTATTTCCATTTCTCTTCTATTAGTTAGGATGTCTTAATTATCACTTTTGTGTTAAATTTCTCTTAAACGTTAGCGGGTGTGGTACCCAAAAATAAAAAAACATCATCAGTGTAAAAAATACATTATCACCTATTTATTGTTACTATATTATTTAATAATTTTAACACCTCATACTCACAGTTTAATAAAATTAAATTATCAACAAAAAGAACGTGCTATAAAATGTGTTGTTTTTAGAATTGAAGACGACTAATTGCATATTAGTGATTTGGACCTATAGGAAGGATTTAATGAAACAACAATCCAATATAAGTTGAAGGATCCCTTTTTTTCTCATCCAGGAATTTGAAATTATTCTGCAAATTATGTATTTTAGAGAGTATATAATTATAATATAAAAAAATTAATATTATAACTATGTATTTCTAGGAGTATATCGTTATAAGGGATATGAAAAAAAAACTTTTAATATTATAACTATGTATTTCTCAGAATAGATAATTTGCAGGAGAATTTCAAATTCTTACAACATGAAAACTTATTATTCCTAAGTTAAAATACTCAAAATAAATCCATAAGAAAATACATTAGAAATGTGTATATGCAATCTTCAATCCCATAAAACAAATAACTAAGTCCCCAACAACACAACTAATAAACCTCTTCAATAACCAATAATTGAATGACAAGAACAAACTTCAAGCTAAGCCTAAACAATATAGCCCACCAAGAGGCATTTGCATGGAAAATAGGTTAGAAAACCCTCATAAACCCAATAATAAGGAGACATATCAATCATGTCCTACATGGTGAATAAGCCAAGAGGCTTAAGCCAATGTATCAACGTGCTTAAATTTAAACTTCCAAAAAAAAAAACGTACTTAAATTTATTAAGCAAACATTGTTTTATGTATCAAAATGCATTACAAGTATTTAGGAATGTGCAAAATAATCAAAAAACTGAACTATAAACCGAACCACCCTTAAAATAATCGGTTATTAAAAATCAGTTCATAAACCAAACTGATTTTTAGAACCAGTTTAAGAACCGAACCATTTTAATCCGAACCGAACTAAAGCGTTTTCAAACCAAACCAAATTGATTTTTAAAATCAGTTTAAGAACCGAACCATTTTGATCCGAACCGGACTAAAGCGTTTTCAAACCAAACCAAATTGATTTTTATAATTTTTATTTTTATTTTTTTTTCTTTTCAAAATAAGGTCGATCCGAACCAGTTCCGAAGTGAACCCAACCAGTTTTGAACCGAACAGAACTATTTTCGAACTGAATCATTCAAACAAATTCGACTCGATTTTTTAAAAAATTCGATTTATTTCGACCCATGCTACAAATATCCAAGACTTTATGTATCAGTCAAATCACTCAATTGCAACATCGAAGGTCCTATCTTGGATATATCACCCCGCGCAATGAAATAGGGACCCCATAACACCCATTCATCAGAATAACCCTTTACACCAAATTCAATCATATGTGATCGACTGATCGAACCCAAATCCTTGTAATTAGACCACCGGTATGATATATTTTTCGCTCAGACTGTATCTGCATATAAATCAAGTTATTTGAATATTTGATATTTAAATAATTAAACTTGAGATGATGGGATAGGAGAGTTGAGACAACCGTTTTTTACTTTTTTTTAATGATTTAAGAGCATCCGGAAAAGAAAAAGTAGTATTGTTGGGGTAGGTGGCGTTTCTCAATGAAACCCAAATGTTCGGATCTTAGTTTATAGTCTCATTTACCAACTTTATAAAAATACAATAAGTAATACTTGTATGCAAAACTTGAGTCAAATCAAGAAAAGAAAACTTGAGTCGTTGGAAATCCATCTCAATCTTGAGATTTTATTTTATTTTTGGGTTTTTTTCTGTAATTACTACGAATGAAATTTTTTGCAATAGATATAAAAAAATGAAACTCATTCATTAAAAAAAAAATTCCATCGACGTATTCTAACTTTTTATGTGTTGCTGCAATTTTTTGCAATAATAGGAGAGCTATATTTTTCTTATTTTTTATTTAAAGATTTTGTCAAACGTAGAGTTGAAAATTTGGGTCCTGATTGGCTGACCCAGTTGTAGAAAATTTTATTCCTTTTAATATAGATTTCGGTTTAAACAATATTGTCATCGTAATTTTCTCTTTAAGCAAAATATCCAAAAGAACTTGACTCTATTGTTAATTGGTCAGCTTTGCATTTAAAAAGACTGATTGTTTAAAAATAATAGTTCATGAACTGAATTAATTTTTTAAAATAGTTCATAAATTGAACTGGTTTTAATAATTTTTTTTTTTCATAAATTGAACTAATTTTTTTATATTATTCTACTCCTTTTTTTTCTTTAATAATACACAATGCTTCAGCTATCATATTCAATTATTGTGCAAGCAGTGATAAAGCTCATGCAAATATATTTAATCAAATTTTATTGGACTATTCATACACGGTTGCTTAAATTTGCTTCTTTTTTTTTTTAGCATTTAAAATTTAATCCTGTACTAAGTGAATTCCTCCACACCTATACAGCAAAAAAAGAGAGTCAATTTTGAGAAAAGAAAAATGATTAGTTGATTACTTGCGCTTGCTTGCCTATTGATATTTCAACATTCTACCTAATTTTTAATAAAATAAGCTCGCACTTGAAGGGGAAAGGCACATGGTCTTTGAATTCTCAAATTTGCCCTTGGCGGCTTTGCCTCTCACTTGTTGCCTTTTGGATAGTCTCGGGTATTTAAGAGATTTCAGACAAAAATGTAACCGCTACTTTTCCACATTCTCAAAGTATTAATTTTGATCTTTTTAGTCAGAAGTTCAATTTAAAAGCACGAAAAGACCGAGAAACAGTAGCACAGAAGAACACACAGGAAACAAGATCATTTTGCTCCGTTAAGAGAAGGTAACTTCCTGTTCAAGACTCTAGTTCTTGCTCTCTCTCTCTTCTCTTCTTTCTTCCTTTGAATTTCCTATTTCTCAACACTGTCTTTTAATTTTGGTTTTTTTTTTTTTTTTTTTTCATCAATCAATCATGGTCACACTTATTTCTTTAAATTCTTGATTGTCAATTTATCATAAAGTTAAGTGTTGTTGGACATCATATTTGATAGGTGGTTGAATTTGAAAAGCTTAGCTGAAACCACAATTTAATGAACATGGATTTTATGTACAATCAATTTACAAAATATCTTGGAAATAATATTTGATAAGTAGTTTTTGTGGTTCTTGCATATGCTATCGTTTTCTTTCTGTAATTGGACTTGTTTGATCTAATGTAATAGTTATTTTACATGTCTGGAATTAATGCCAGAATCAACGTGTTAAAATGCCCGATTATTTATTTGATCATTGACGAGTTGCTGATTCATTCATATGCAGAGGAATGGAGAATCAATCTTTTGGAAGGCCCCAGAGACCAAAAGGGGGTAAAATAAAGCAGGCATTGAAGGTGATTGTAGTTTTGTCTGTTTGTGCCTGGTTGGTATATCAGATCAGGCACTCAAGGAATAAGACAAAGAACTATGGCAGTCAAACAAAGCTTATTATAGAACTGGAACTTGCACGTATCAATGAGAAATTCAGGACAAATATTGAAGGAAAAGAAATGGAACTTCAACCAGAAAATCAAGCTAAGGTACCATCCAAGAGTAATTACAAGGAATCCAGGATGCAGGAAAACGTGGTGGAGATTGCCACAAATGCTGGCGTGACAGAGGAAATAGATGGGGTCCAAAGCTTTCATGATGAAAATGGTGTTCCACCTGATGGTAATGAAACTGAAATAGTGGCTGGCCAGGCACACATGTTGCGCGAAGAAAACATTTCAAATGTTGATAAGGGAAGTTGGTTTGGCAAAAAGTAACATTTATGAAGTCACATATGGGGAAGAATCGGAAGATTAACAAATAAGCTGTAGAGGAGATAATTTTCTATAGGGTACAGAGGATATGTCTTTTTTCTTTAGTTCATGAATATGTTCGATGTAATTAGCCGTAGGGAATGCAAAGTCACAGATCTTTTTCAGTGATAGATCACTAATGCACAATTTGATGGATAGCATTCATTTAGCTATCTACCATTCTTTGTCTTAGACTTGAAAAACTGTATAGGTTAACATCAATGTACTTGTTATGTCTGACATTTTCGTTTTTCGCTCCTCTTAGTATCTGATTTCACTCTCAGTCTCGACCCTTCTCATTTTGCAATGCTACTCTCTCTTGTATTTTATAAATCTGGAATCATATTGGAAACAAAATCATAATCAAATGTGATCTCACGTCACCCCATGCGTCATTCGAATGTGTGGGCAACTATTTTCCCTATAAGCTGCAAGGAGGAACAGAAGAAAATATAGAAAAGTAAAGGAAGAGATAATATAGAAAAGACATGGAAGAGTTATCATTTTGTCTTAGTTAATATCATTTAATGATAAAGAAAAATGATTTCTTTTTTATTTGACTATATAATAAAATCAATATGTTAATAATATTAAAAAAAGTAAGATATTCAGCTTGGCTAACAGCTATTAGGAAATAAAGAAGTATAAATCATTTTTTCAAGCTGATCATTTTGGTTTATCATTATGTCACAAGTTCTGAATAACATTTTTGTTTAAAGAAAAAAATCAAATCAAATAAACTATTTTCACATGAGAAAGATATATCCAAATTTCTCAACAATATAAAGGACCTAAATACTTATTTTCTTCTGTTGTTCCTTGCAGCTTATGGGGAAAATAGTTGCACCCTCGAATGACGCATGGGGTGACGTGAGATCACATTTGATTATGATTTTGTTTCCAATATGATTCCAGGATTTGGAAGGCCTGCATGGCAGTTACAAATAGATATATGCGAGATTTGGGGAGTATCTTTCGGAATACGGATGCACCGAATATTTTAATATATATTTTATTTATAATGTAATATGTATTTTTTTTTAGTACATGTGTAATATGTATTTTAATTTTCATCAAATTATTTTTTCAACAAATTTTAAAATAAATTATTTATTAATAATTTGATAAAAATAATATAGGAACTTAGGAAGGTTATACTTACAACATATTTTCGTTTACAATCTCTTACAACTCATATCTTAACCATTGATTTTCATCAATCAACGGTTAAGATTTTCGCAAATAAAATTTATTAATTAATTATTAATTAACAATAAATCTTAACCGTTGATTGACGGAAATCAACGGTTAAGATATGATTGTAAGAGGTTGTAAACGAAAATAGATTGTAATTATAACCTCTTCAAATAACACACACACACACATATATATATATATAAGACAGGATCTTTTGACACCGGTGTCAAATTTGAAATTTGACACCTCATATGAGAGCTGTTAGATCAAAAAAGATCAATGGTATCACATGCTTACAAATCAGAGTCGTTGATTTTTTTTTATCTAACGGCTCTCAGATGAGGTGTCAAACTTTAAATTTGACACCGGTGTCAAAGGATCCTACCTCTTTCTCTCTCTCTATCACATCGTAACTGTTGATTTCCGTCCATCCAACGGTTATAGTTTAGGAAGTTATAATAATTAATTAATTATTAATTACACTATAAATGACAACCGTTGATTTCCGTCTATCAACGGCTGAGATAGGGAGTAAGACTTAAAAATCTTACTCTTGAGTCAAAAGAACCCTCTCCATATATAACCGTTTGATTTCCTAAACTATAACCGTTGGATGGACGGAAATCAACAGTTACGATGTGGAGTAAGACTTATAAGTCTTACTCTAGAGTCAAATGAGCTCTCCCATAAAGAGAGAGAGAGAGAAATATTTCTCTCGTCACCGGAGATAAAATTATCTCCAGTAAGCTCAAAACGACGTCGTTTTGAGTTATAAGATTAAAAAATTATAATGATAAAGACTAATATAACCTGCAATATATTATAATTACAAAAATACCTTGATTTCTGTCTCAAAGAGACGTCATTTTTGAGCTCACTGGAGATAACTTTATCACCGATGACTGGAGAAATCATTTACCCATATATATTAGGCTTTAATGTTTCTACAATGAATGTAGATAAGTTATCTACATTCACTCTCAAAACGACGTCGTTTCGTGTTGAAAGATTAAAAAATTATAATGAGAAAGATTATTATAACCCTGAAACAAATTATAATTATAAAAATACTATGATTTTCGTCTCGAAATGACGTCATTTTGAGCTCAATGTAGATAATTTATCTACATTGACGGCAGAAAAAATGAATCTTATATATAACATGGAAGAAATTATACTTACTACCTCTCTTTTTTACTACTTATTACTACCAAATCTTAATCGTTAATTGATGAAAATCAATAATTAGGATTTAAAATGACACAAAATTATTTTCTTTAGAAGAAGAAATATTTTTTCCATATAATATTATATTATGAGTGAAAGATGAAAAAAAAAAATTCACTACATTCCTAGTACCGAAGAATTTTTTCGAGATTTGCGTCTTAAATTTTTTGAAATTGTGGGATCTACATGCGCTTTCTATATTTCTCTGGCTGCACCTTTGCAGTTCAACTGTAGAGTATCCAGATTCCGGACCCTATGATTCAATAATCAGTATTAACGAGAGAGGGGTGTACTCGGGTAGGCTTGGTGGTCAACGGTCAAACAGGGGCAGATCGGTGTTATGTTTGTTGGGGAGGTTAAATTTTTGAAATAGTTTATAATGAGGGTCAATTTGGTAATTAATTATTAATAAAAGGTTATAAGGGTCAAAAAGCCAGAGAATGTGAGACATTGTAATCGGCCAGATCTCGCCTTTTTTGGGTGAGATTTTTATTTTATTTGGACGGAAGTGATCTCATCAAATTTGAATGAGATTGAGTATAATTAATTCATAAATTAATTTTAAAATATTATGTTTTAGTAAATTTTTATTTAAATAATAATATTTTTATTTTTTTAATTATATAAAAATAAAATTATCTCTTATAATATGAAAATTGAGAAACACTAATCCTTTATTTAATATTACTTATCTATCTAGCATTATATATAGTAGTTACCGGCTTTTTGACCACTATAGCCTTTTTTAATAATTAATTATCAAATTGACCCTATTTATAAACTATTTCAAAAATTTAACCTCTCCAGAAAACATAACATCAATCTGCCCCTATTTGACCGTTGACCACGAAGCTTACCCGGGTACACCCCTCCCTACCCAGGTATTTTTTGAAAATTAATGCTACCAGGGTAGGGAGGGGTGTATCCGGGTAAATCTCGACCAGAAACTCCAAAACCGTTCGAATATTATCTCAACTATTTCAAATATTTATGGCATCTCAATGTGTTGTTATGCACCACAATAATTGATTCACACTGATTGCGCCTCAATAAATACGCTCCATCGTTGTTTGATTTCTGGAAATTATTCTGAAGTTATTTATTTTTTCATTAGTATTTATTTTCTTCCTAATCTGTTACAATCAATGTTATTAAAACCGACCCGGTCATTGACCCGGTCGAGGTACTGGGTCACTGGGTCAACCGGTGGGTCACTGGTTCAACCGCATGACCCGGTAATTATATGCAATTTTATAATTTATATTAAAAAATTATAAACAAACTCAAATATCTAAGAAAAATGATAAAAATTTCAAATATTTTAATATAAAAATAATAAATGACATATTATTATCCTATAAAAGATCAAACAAAAATATAATGATCGTCATACGAGACCTTAGGTTAAGAAAACGACATCTCTAACTATAAATCAAATCAAATCACAATTTGCTGCATAGTGCATAATCGAGATAATATTAGTGTTGTAGGTACATAACTTATGTAAGTTAATAAGCAAAAAAATATTCAAATATGTCAATTATGATTTTTTTTTGGGACTGGGTCGGGTCACCGGTTTTCATGAAAATCGGCCGAGTCGCACCGGGTCTAATGCATAACCAGTCCGTTGCTTCAACCGAACCGGTTATATGACTGGTTTATCGGTTCCCGGGTCGACCCGGCCGGGTCGGTCCGGGTTTCATAACACTGGTTACAATTTTGTTTCCCTTTCAAAATTGTTTCCCTTTATTTTCTTTCTAAGATGAAGTGTACAATCCCTATAAATCAGCTACACACTAATTAGGAAAGAAATTAGCATTAAAAAAAGGAAACAAAATTGTAACAGATTAGGAAGAAAATAAATACTAATTCAAATGCACCACAATAATTGATCCTCATTGATTGCGCCTCAATAAATACGCTCCATCGTTGCTTGATTTCTGGAAATTATTCTGAAGTTATTTATTTTTGAATTAGTATTTATTTTCTTCCTAATCTGTTACAATTTTGTTTCCCTTTTTTAAAGAAATCAGCTACACACTAATTAGGAAAGAAATCAGCCATAAATATTTGAAATAGTTGAGATAATATTCGAACGATTTTGGGGTTTTGGATCGAGATTTACCCGGGTACACCCCTCCTTACTCGGGTAAATAATTCAAGCAATTTTCCAGATGTTAAGAACTATACCCAGGTACACCCTTACCTACCCGGGTAGGTAAAAAATTTCAAAATATACCCGGGTAAGCTTGGTGGTCAACGTCAAACAGGGGCAGATTGGTGTTATGTTTTTTGGGAGGTTAAATTTTTGAAATAGTTTATAATGAAGGTCAATTTAATAATTAATTATTAATAAAGGGTTATAAGGGTCAAAAAGCCAGTAATTACCACATAAGTATATAACTTAATAATACTACATAATTTTTTTCATTATTAATAAATGGACTTTGCATATTCTAAATCTCTATCTTGAGTTATTTTGTAATTTTTTTTAACACAATTTTTTCATGAATATGGAGATGCAACTTCAGATAAAATGCTTAAAGATTTAAATCCTTTTCACTCGAATCGACACACATTGGTAGATTGTTATATGCCATTTGCGTACAATTAATAAAAATAAATATTTATTTGTACACATAGAAAATAAAGGTATTTTTCAGCTAGGGCAGATATACTTATCACCAAAAAATTTTACCACCTTTACAATCAATCTAATTACTGTTGATTTCCGTCAATCTAACGGTTATAATTTATTGGAATTATAACCGTTAGATTGACGAAAATCAACGGTGATTAAGTTAGTTGTAAATGTGGTAAATTTTTTTGGTGGTAAGTATATCCTTCCCTTTTTCAGTTATTAGTTAAATTTATTTAAAAAAATATTGAAAACAAGTTAAGATTTTTTTTAATTAATTATTAATTCACAATAAATGGTAACCGTTGATTGACGAAAATCAATAGTATTAAGACATAGTTATAAGAAATTGTAAAAAAAAAAAAAAAGTTGTAAGCATGATATAATTTACATAAAATCTCATGATAATATGGCTATCATCTTTCACATGTCCTCAGATATTTCTATTGATTGGCTAGCCAATAAAAATGGATGGAATCTCATTTGATTTTTGTGAGAAAGATATACAATATCTGCTTCCTCTGTTATGCACTAGCCTCTGTTAAGCTAATCTTCAGTTCGAGTCACTCTTCCAAACTCCCTCTATCATCGCACAGAAACTCACAAACATGGAGATACAGTTTTGGGCTAAATGCGAAATCGATTGGGCTTAGTGTTCTACAGGTTTTGTGTTTGAATCTCGATGGGACCTACCATGTGATTTCCGCCTCCTAGGGTTGGATCCCTGTTTGTCCCGTCCCTCTCCTCATGTCACAGAACTTAGAACTCATCTTTTAACGCCAAAAAAATAACCTCAAAATAAAAATAAAAAGTTCAGACAGAGAAAATGAAATTTAGTATTCCGAGTGTGCGCAAGCGACAGACTGTTATTATGTAAAAGCATCCCTGGTTTTTGACACATGCCATATATTTTGTTACATTGTGTAGTGAATTATTTGCACACATATTTCGCTACATAGAGTAGCGAAATATGCCACGTGATATTTTGGCAAAATTTACTGTTGACGTGACAGTTTGGTAAATTTTTTTGCCAACTTTGGTCACTATTCCCATTTTTTAACGCCAAAAAAATAACCTCAAAATAAAAATAGAAAGTTCAGACAGAGAAAATGAAATTTATTATTCCAAACAACCACTTGAAAATATAATAAGCCTACCAAGAGTGTGCGCTAGCGGCAAACTGTTATAATGTAAAAGCATCCTTTCCTTACATCACAAGCCTGAATGCGGTATATGAGGCAAAGCATGGTACGATTCTCAATCCTCATTTACTAGATTTAAACCTTACTACCTAATGAAATTTTAAAAGTATACTTATTCGGTAATAATCAAAATTTCCATACTTTCTAATATGCTACTCATACCTAACTTCAGTCTTCCATCCGTCCCCAAGAACTAAAATTACTGGTTATGGAAATCTGCTCTGTTTAAGGAGTGTATATTACTACAAAAGCAAAATTTTAAGTCGTGATCGACAGCAGCAGAACTGTAATTGAATGTAAAATCCCCAATGCTAAAATAAAATATTGTTGTATCTTTAATCGGAATTTGTTGCAAGGCTATAAGCAGGAACCTTGGCAACTCTTCCTTCTTTCATGACCGATCTTATTCTCTCCACCCCCTTCCACAAGCCTTTATTGGCGTAGATATTGGACAATACCACGTAAGCACCATCATTCCAAGGTTCCAATGCTTGTAAATGCTTAGCTACCCACTCCGCCATTTCCACATTCCCATATTTTTCACACGCACCCATCAAACACCCCCATACTACTGAATTTGGCTTCATAGGCATCTCCTCCACCATTTTTCTGGCATCGTCAAGCAATCCCGCTCGACCCAGCAGGTCCACCATGCATCCATAATGTTGCAATTGGGGTGTTATGCCATAAACGTTCTTCATCATATCAAAGTAACATCTTCCCTCTTGAACTGTCCCTCCGTGGACGCAAGCACTGAGTATTCCAACAAAAGTTACATGATTAGGCTTCACTCCTGCCTCTCTCATATACCAGAAGCATCCAAGTGCTTCCTTTACATGTCCATGCATAGCATAACCCACAATCATGGATGTCCACGATGACACATTCCGTTCCTCCATCGTTGCAAAAACTTTGTAAGCCAGGTCCATCCGCCCACACTTCCCATACATGTCTATCAGTGAATTCGACATCAAAATGTCAGTCTTCTCAGTGGCATTAGCCTGAAAAACACATTTATGCAATTGGAGAGCCAGGTCCAAGTCACCAATGCTTCCACAAGCAGATGTGAGGCTAACCATGGTGATGCCATCCGGGGCGAATCCATGTCTCCTCATATTCAAAAACACATGAATCGCATCCCTGGCAAGGCCAGCTTGGGAAAGCCCACCTATTATAGCATTCCAAGAACCAAGCTTTGGGTCAGGATTTTCATCAAACAACTTACGTGCACTTCCAAATTCGCCAGCTTTGCAATACAAGTTTATAAACCCAGTCTCGCAATACTCATTGGATTGGAGTCCAAGCTTCACAGCAGCGGAATGAACCTGTTTTCCAAGATTAATGGCAAAAGATTGGCACACCGCCTTGAGAACAATCGGAAGGGTGTAACAGTCAGGGAAAACCCCAGCCCGCAACATCGAAACATGGATGAGAAGAGCATAGCGTGGAGCCCCTAGCCTAGTGTAGGACCTCAGAATATTGTTCCAATTAAACGAAGCAGGATTGGTTTCCAGAAAGTGTGTCCTGAGAACGTGGGCATATACTTGGTTCAATTCCGATACTCGAGTACAATTAGACAACTTCGTAGCTATCAATGTTACTGGGTCGTGTTGAGTAAAAATCGCAGCACAGAAATGACGACAAGTGGTGAATCCAAGTTGCAAGAAGAACCTGGGCATTGGCATTAACATTAGCATTAGAATAGCCAAGGATGATTTGAAATCATATTTATACCCTTTCTTTCATTTATCAAACGGGCCAGTGTTTGGACATTGGGCCTGGGCCTGGCCCGATAAGTATAAATAATAAATAATAATTAAACGATGGAGTTCGAGTTTGAGTTGGAGTTGGAGGCCACGCAATTTGGTGAAGGTAAATGGAGGAGGCATCAACGGCTCCGGATCTGGACGAAGGCGATCCTTCATCGACGGTTCTGGATCTCACGAGCTATCAGCTCCATGACCTTGACTCGGTTGAGTTGCCGCCGAATCTCACTGAGTTGGACCTCACCTCGAATCGGTTGTCCACTTTGGACCCTCGCATAGGGCACCTATCTCATCTCAAGAAGCTTTCCCTTCGTCAAAACCTCATCACTGACGCTGCCGTTGAGCCTCTCTCTTCATGGAACGCTCTTTCCTCTCTTGAGGTACTCTCAATATCATCATCATCATAACAGGTTATGTTTTAATGCATTCAATTGCTGAAACAAACGCTTTTTTGTTTCGTACAGGACCTCGTGCTGCGTGATAACCAACTAAGGAAAATTCCTGACGTCAGCATATTCAAGACTCTTTTGGTTTTTGATGTTTCTTTCAATGAAATTACTTTGCTACATGGCTTGTCCAGGGTCTCCAACACCCTCAAGGAGCTCTATGTATCGAAAAATGAAGTGACTAAGATTGAGGAGATTGATCACTTCCATCAACTCCACATTCTTGAACTTGGCTCCAATAAATTAAGGGTTAGTCATACTGTGATCGAATATAAACAACATATGGCAATGTGTTCCTACGGTGTTTAATGGAGCATGATTTCCGTATCTGATTCAGGTGATGGAGAATTTCGAGAACCTCACAAATTTGCAGGAGCTCTGGCTTGGACGTAATCGAATTAAAGTTGTAAATCTCTGTGGTCTGACATGCATCAAGAAGATTAGTTTGCAAAGCAATCGTCTCACTACAATGACAGGATTTGAGGTATGCTATTTCTATCTCCAATGTTGGATTAGGAGATAAATTTCAATCGAGTAAAACCATGAGGGAGAATATTCATTCACCAATCAAAGTTATAGGTTGCAACTCAATTTGAACTTGTTGATGAATTGGGCCGGTGGGGATTTGCAAGTTTTCTTTTCATATTAATTTCATTTGTAGTTGCTAACTTATTTCCCTCTTTTTGGGATACAGGGTTGCATAGCTCTAGAAGAACTATACTTGAGCCATAATGGTATCACAAAAATGGAAGGCCTGTCATCTTTAGTCAATCTCCGGGTTTTAGATGTATCATCAAATAAGCTAACCTCTGTGGATGACATTCTCAACCTGACGCAGTATGTCTGTTCCTCCGTTTCCCTCCCTACTCATCCTTATGTTATTCATTTCATTGCCTAATTTAATCTATTGCAGATTAGAAGATTTGTGGCTTAATGACAACCAAATAGAATCACTCGAAGGAATTGCTGAGGCTGTTGCTGGTTCAAGAGAGAAGCTTACCACTATCTACCTAGAAAATAACCCATGTGTACGGTTATTTATTATCCTTACAAATTTGTGATTTTTTTTTTCTTGAAACATTTATACTTGTAGATGGGGCTATATATTTTATTTCCAATATAGAATGAGTTTCATTTGCCACTGATCCTAAACATGTGATTACGGGTCTTCCGTTAGTTTCAACTAACATTTGATGTCGTTATGGAGTTGTATGAGCATAAAGTGTGGATTTCATTTAGAACATATCGGACCTATGTTGGCTTGCCGAAATTATCACGATGTTCCTGCTTTTGGATTTTTCTGTTATAATGTATTTACTTTATGAACTAATCCTTTTTTTTTTTTTTGCAGGCTAAGTCAACCAACTATGCTACCATCCTAAGGGAAATCTTCCCCAACATCCAACAAATTGATTCTTATGTGTTTTCTTAGGAGTTACTTGGCTTCAGCTTTGGCTGAAAACAGTAGGTTTGAAGCTTTGTCTTTTCATATCCATTTGTAAGTTTTATATAGATCTTTGTACGATTTTGTCATTGCTAATAGTTGTGTTTATTGCACTTTGATTAATTTCTGGGATGTCTGTCATGCATGCAGATCCTGGTTTGAAAGATCGATGATTTGGCTCTGTCCACCTAATGGAGAGAATAAGCTTATCAACAATTGGACAATATTACGTGCCTGACCATTGGTTACTAGTCGAATGAACATGCTTGTTATATGTTTCTTGTTTAGCAGACCACATTTCGTTTTATTTATATCTTTTTGGCAACCAGTTTTTGAAGTTACGCCTTTTTTCTTCTGTGTTAATGATATTTCTAGTTACCTTTTTGGGTATACAGTGGAGAATGTAGATTAATGATCGCCTAGAGATTCACTGAAATTTGTTTTAGTGATTCACCATCCATAACTAAGTAAATGTTTATTGTCTGTGACATGCATATAAGCTATCTCTGCAATTCTTCAAGAATTCCCTCTCCTGCAGTGTTGTTATTCTGCTGAATGGCAATTAGAATTGACAGTCATAAAATGCAGGCCAACTATAATGAACGGGCTTTTATTATTATAATGTTATTCTCCAACTTCAAAACTTTCATCGTATTGCTAGTCCTTTGTTGTAAATGACCAGGGTTAATTGGCCTGAATCAGAAATAAGATTTTATTTTCTCCCTTTGTATCTGATTTAATAAAAAAGAATACGCAAACCATTTGAATTTGAGAAAATGTAAAAATTTGTCTTGATAACTTTGTTAAACTTTAATTTAAACGAATTTACTAAGAAGTGTTTTGCTTGGTAAGCGTCTAATTTAAATGATCTATAGTAAAGAGATTATTTTAATACATTAAAAGGAGAAAAAAAAAAAAAAAAACCTCTTAGAAGAAAGTCCATAGTCCAATCATGTGACTTGGCTGGCAATGCTGGCCTTCGTAGACCAATTGTAACACAAAGTGTTAAAAGCTCCAATAACATTTTGTCGCGTCCAAATCAAAAGGGTGCTGTTGTCATCATGTGCAAATCCCCATTGTTTTATTTTTGAATAGTTAGACTTTCTTAGGCAAGTAGAAGTTCTTTTTAAGGAACTTAGCAGCTTTGTCATCATTCCGACAACACAAAACTCGGAGAAGAGTGTTCGGTTCTCTTGGACTCCATTGACCAGATGTTGGAGGCAATGGCAACTGGGATTTGTCTAAAGAAGCATACATTTCCAGAGTAACCTTGCTGAATTGCTGAATCAAGTGCTCAGTATCCATGCGAAACAGGGGAAGCACACCTTTAACAGTGGTAGCAAGCTTTTCTATCAATTCAGCAGGTAAACCATCTCCATTGGACCAGAACAAATCAGTGAGAAGCTTCAAGTCTTCCTCTATTATAGCAGAATCTTCAAGAGAGAAAGCGCGTGCTGGACCTCCAGCTAACAAAACCAAAAGGAACCCATCAAAAGAAGCCTCCATTAACTCAGTAATAACACGCGTTCTGGCTCCTTCTTGCACTGTTGACGATATAATCTCCAAGCACTGCTCAAGCTCCTCAAGAAAAGGCTCAATCCTAGTCGATGAAACTTCACCAACATACAGGCCATCCCAAAGAACATGACATAGATCATGGAAAATCACCTTGTAAGCAATAGCCTCAGAGAGTTGATAGATACCTTCTACAGAAGCAGCTGCAGATAGCTTGAACTTAAACCCCGCCTCTGTATCATACTCTCTAGTGGATTCAGAACTTTCAAGACGGGTAATTGTCCTCTTTTCCAAAACCTTCAGTTCCATGCCAATGCGCTGCATGGTATTGATGCGAACACAAAGCTGGGGTAACCCCAATGAGCTATCTACATATGTAGTTCCAATCTGGGATTTCCTCCTCTGAGTCACTTGTGACTTGTCCTTTTTCCTAAATACATCCTTAAATTTTGATCTTGTCGAACAACGAGTCAAAGCAGGCATAACTGGGATGAAAGTATTACGATTCCCTGCAGATCATATCAAAAGGAAAGACCTGTCATCATGGGGACTCAATAACTCTTTTGTTAAATCAAAGACTATGCAATAAATTTATACCACAGCCGGATTTGGCCTTCAAAATGTATTGTTGGAGAGATTTGTCAAGACCAGACATCAATTCAGGAAGAAAAACTGCATGCATGGGTATAGGCAACAGAAAGAACGCTTCCAGGGAGTCATCTATGATTCGTAGAGCTTCAACAGCAGAAGGAGCAAAGCAATCTCTATTTGCATGTGGATTCCATACCTAGAGGAAAAAAGGATGGTCATGTATCACAAACCAAAAAAACAAAAATGTTGTGTCGAAGTAGGTGTCTAGTCTAAACCATTATTGAGCTTCAAAATCGAGTTTATAGAATAGAAGACTCTTGATACTCCATCACTCAACAATAAAAGAGAAGACACATTTCGCTTTGTAGTAATGACACAACAAAAGATTTGGCATACCTCTTGTTGTAGATTTGTGTCAACCCATTCCTCCAGTCTATCCACTCTGGTTTTAATCCATGACTTGACCAGATTGGCAATTACAGCTTCAGCCTCATAAGGGTGCATCTCCCTTATAATGGATTTCCCACCATCTTCACTGTCAACTGAATCCTCCACTGCTATCTGTACCAGATCTTTCTCTAACTTGTCAGCAGCCAACAGCACTTCTACAGCATCAGGTGTCAAATTGGTAACACTACTGACATATTGCTTCAACTCATTCCCATAACACACATGAAGGGTAGCAGCAGCAACACCAGCTGCAATTGGATGCCACCTCTTCAGTATGGGACTAAATATCGCCTTCTCATTAAAAGCTAGTTTGCTGATGTCTCGGGCAAGGACGGAAAGATTGAGAAAGCCTTTATTCTGTTGTATAGATACATGCTTTCTGGGGTCCAGTTTCTCCAATTCCTACTCAAAAGACAGATTAAAAAGAGTTAATGCCACCAAATTTTGGTAACTAGCTTTGCGAAAATTACATGGGCTTTCAAACATGAACCCCCAAGGTGCATGTGAGCAAGTAAATCAATTATGTGCATTTAAATTATTCTTGCACATTAAGGAGATATTGCTAGAAGTCTTAAGCTCCTGAAATTTATAAAAGAATTAATGGCAATTTCCTAATCACAAAAGAAAACCCAAGAGCCAAGGTTTTCTGTTGGAATTTAACACTGTAATAGAGCAAAACAGCTAGCTTTATCCTATTTCAGTTAGTGGGATCAAAATTGTATCTCATGTACTAATATGTCATACTTTATCACATGTTGGTACCATCTGAAATAGAGTATTCATGTTTCGGGAGTTTGAATGGTGGAACTTGCCTGAGCGAAAACAGCATGCAACGATGATCTAATATAATTTTCAACTCTGGTGCAGGATACATCAGTTTCTTTCCTCATCCTATTATACTGAGCAGAGATATCTTCAACCAATATATTTGCTGAAGACATAGCAACAGAAACAACACTTTGCATTGATTCAATATTACCATCATGGAAAGTATCATGGTAGGCAAGGAGCCTTGTCTCTGCCCAACTTAATATCGAATTCAATGTGGAGCTCAAGAATTTTGAGTAAAATGGATCTTTCATGGCCTTAGCATCTTTCTCAAGTTCTGCCAATAGATTACTTGATGCAAACAGAAGATCATTTTGTACTTGACCAGTGGCAACATACCGATGAAATAAGACCCAGCAAAAACAAATATTATGTAGCATCTCATTCATTCCAAGGATAGCCCAGGTCTTCTTAATGAGCTCTAAGACCTCATCAACCTCTTCTATAACAGAGGTTTCTTCATGATTATCAAAACATGCTTCCAAGAGAGTTTGATAGATCTTCAGGTTAAGTGGAAATCCATCAGCCCAGTGGCATGTATCAGAAACAGACCCGTCAGAAGATCTGCAAGCAAGAGACATAACAACATTCCGGAGTGCTTGCATTGACTCACTATCCTTCACAATGTCCATGGGTTTCTCAAGGCTTGCATGGATTATATGCTTCAGGCGCTGTGCAGAAGTGTCTTCCTTATCTAATGGCAAGCGAGGATGCAAGAGAAGTCCTGCTTCAAGAACCTTCAAATTTCTCCTTATCCAAGCCTCATAATCTTGTTGACTACCAAAATCTGAATACTTTAATTGTTGTATTAGCTCAAGCGGCAGAACCATTGACTCTATGCGTCTTCCAAGCTATTTCAAGAACAAAGACCTCGTAAGCTAGCTATTATTGATGAATGAAAAACTTGAAATTTCAGAATTCGGTCCACATTTTTCAATGCCAGTTATTCATAAAAGAACAAAAACAAGTGTAACATATTTCTAGTGGTAGGAAATATAATCCAATATGATGAATATTGATCAATAAAAACAAGTGTAACTAACATATTTCTTGTCCTTTTCTTTTTTTAATAAATCACTTAACCACAATTAATTAGAAGTATTACTATGATATGAATGAAGTTTAAATTCAGAAATGAATTCAAGTTTGGAGCAGAAAGAGAAAGAGAGGCCACACCTTGCCAGCAGCTACTCTGAGCAGGGATCGTCTGACTCTGGTGTCAGTGAGCTCGGAAACCGTCATCTGCAGCCTCATCAACTCCCACGTCGCCACCACCCTTCGATTCTTCTTTCCTTCACTTACGGAGGAGTACGTATTCAGACTCAACTTATTCTTCACTTTGTAACAAATGTCATTTCCATTCTCTCCCTATCAAAGTTTTTATAAAGGTTTGTCAAGTTTAGAAATGTGAAAAAAAAAAAAAAAAAAAAAAACAGCAGGATAGACAAGAGGTTTTCATTATTAGAGTGCAAGGTATGCAATAAAAATTGTAAAAATGGATAAGCAATTTCAAAAATATATACATATTTCTTTTTCGAATTTAAAGTATATAAAAATATATATATATATATATATATATATATAATATTTTCATAAAATATTTGGAATAAAATATTGATTTTGCATATTTTTTATTTTTTATTAAAGTAATATTTAATCATAAATATACAAGTGTAATATAAGAATTTTTTTTTTCAATAATCCTTAAACAATTGATTATATTTCAAAAATATTAAAATTTTCATTTCTTATTATATCATCGAATGATGATATTAATTATTAAACTTATAAAGAAGATTTTCATTATAAGTGAAAATTTTTAACGGTTTGATTTTTTTAATAAAAATTAGTTAAACAACACCTTGTATAGTCCTCTGTTTTTTGTTTTGGCTATAACAACGGTAAGTAATTAATGAATGACAGTTAATAATTAATTTGAATATTCTTTCTTTTTTATTTTATAATTTTTTTTAATAAAATTGTAATCATTAATATGTTATTGAATAGATAAAATTTGTCACATGACATAATCATATTAAAATTACATATGAGATTATCCATGTCCATAAAAAGACTCATCCATATACGCAATATTAATTATTAAACAAATAATATTTTTTAAACATTACTGTTGGATACAAATTTTGATGACTCACAATATAAATTTATATTTTAATAAAGATTTATCTCTTTTATATTATTGAAATTTTAACATAAGATTATATATATATATATATATATATATATATATATACAGTAAATTTATAATTAATTTTATTATAAATATGATACAATAATAAATAAAATATAATTATAAATAAAAAAATTCACAAAAAAATTAAAAGAAATTTCATTGAATCGTTAAAATTTAAAATTATTTTATATATGAAGTATATTTTATTACTATTTATTTATATTTAAAAGGAAAATATACCCGTATGTTGTAGGATTTTTCTCTCCTACACATACATCGATTTTTGTGTTGCTTTTTTTTTTTCTTGTTTACATTTTTTATAAGTGAATGGGTCTCACACATAATTGTCTCTATAGCATGAGAGATTTTCTCTCCTATTGTATGAGATTAATAAAGCCCATATTTAAATATATATTTTAAATAATAAAAATTTTAATAAAGAAATTTTTTTGACCTATGAATAAATCGCAAGTGAGTCTCTTAAATCATAAAACTTTAGAGGTTATGATTAGAATAAGGGAAAAGTATTTTTCCATTCACCGGAGATAAAGTTATCTCCGGTGAATTCAAAATGACGTCGTTTTGAGTTAAAAGATTAAAAAATTATAATGATAAAGACTAATATAACCCTGTAATATATTAGAATTACACAAATACATTGATTTCTGTTCCAAAACAACATCATTTTAAGCTCACTGAATATAATTTATCTCTATTGACCGAAGAAATTCTTTATCCTTAAAAAAACCCTACCACAAACTGAACTTAGTGAATTAGGATCATATATAGGGTCTTAATTAAGAGTTCCGTTATCTACGGCCCATTTTGACATCTCTTAATGGAAAATTGGAAATATCCATTTTCCTTGTGATTATTTTGAATGTGAAAAACATTAACTCTCAAAATTCTTAATCATGTCATGTTTGACACCTCTCTTTTTTCAAGTGAAAAGTAGTTATTTTTAAGTTAAAACAAAAAAAAAACTTTGGGAATAAAATTATAAATTGTTTGATGATTATATGAAATTTAACTTAAAAATTATTTAAAAGTTATTCAATTCAACAACAACAAAAACACATATTTCAAAAGAAACTGATACAATTTAAAAAAGCTCCACCTAAAAGTTTTAATTTTTGACTTTTTTCTTCATTATAAATTTTTTTTATTATAAGAAATTTTGTAAAAACTTATTTCATATAAGGGTTTTATAATTCTCATTTAACATGAGAATTTGAATTTTCCTACACACTCTTCGATTTCTGTGCCAACGTGGATCCTACATATAATTTTTTCTAACATATGGGTCCCACATATTTTTTGTCTCTACAACATGAGAATTCAATTCTCATGTTGCATGAGAAATATAAAACCCTTCGTATAAAGACATTCCAAATAGGCATCAACTTACAATTTTTAAAAAACAAATAAATAATTTACACACCTCACTGGGCACAGGTTTGCGCTCTCCCCTATTCGAATATGAGATGAACTTTAATGGCTTTGGTCCAGGACTCCGGCAAGCCCCGACTAGGATCTCATAGGCCGTTTCCCGGAGCTCCGATTCAGATAAATTGGTAGCCGGGTCGGTGAAAGGGATCAAGGGAAGGCCTTCAACTTCAACCTTGTGCATGTGCATGGTGTTCTCCAACCACTTCTCTCTCTCTCTCTCTGAGTCCCTCAAACTGAAACTGAACCTGATTAACGTTGCTTAATTTGCTTGCAGCAAATAATGAAAAGAAATTGCAATGTTGAGTGTCTGAGAAAATGAGTTTGTGTGAAGATTGGGTTTGTTAATTTTGCTTTAGTTTTAAGGTAGCGTTGCAGGATCATGTTGCTTTGCCATTATCGGGCAGATTCAAAAGTTAGTAATTACTTATACAAATTTATAGGATAGGAATGGGATAACAATTAACATGATAAGATAAGAATACAATATAAAATAAGTCTGTAAGCTCAGTTTGATAGGATAATATCCTATATGATATTTGAGGCGAATTATACCATTATATATGTGATAGATTCCACAAGATCGAAAATATCCAATATATGATTGATAATTATTGTTGGATTAGTTACATTAGTATACTCAAAGGGAGTGAGATTGTTAAAAGAGAAAGGATAAATGACTTAGCATTTATCTTCTAGTGGTAGGATTATGTTATTATCCTTATCGCTTTTAACTGATCACTTGCTATTAAGTTGTTGGGAGATGGGCTCATATGATGGTCCATAACACGGCCGAGGCATCATTTTAAAATTTTTGGGCAAAAAAATTGTACAATTAAAATTGATTGGATAAATTTTTTCAAACTAATAGAGTCAAACATATCACTTATACTTAGGGGTGCTAAACGAGGCAGGGGCCTTTGGCTCGACTCGTGAAGGTCTGAGCTTACATGTCTAAAATTGATTGTTGGACCCAGGCTTGGACTTGTATAAAAGCTCGTTTAATAAAAAGGCCTCATGCTCTAATTCAAAAGCTCGGCCTTAGAGCCTCTCAGGCTTGCCTAATATATTATTTTTTTATTTATTTTTTAATTTTTATACTACTTGTGATAGCCCTCTCTCTCTTCTCAATTCATTTCATCCCATTTTATTAATTAAACAGACTTTTTAAATGATTTTGTTTTATATTATGCTATTTGGATATACATTAAATTTATGAATATTTATGGAATTACTAGTGCTGTTGATTGTATATTTTGTTTGGCTAAATTTTTGTTGTATTATTTTTTTTAAACAGGTTAAAACAAGGCTTTTATTTTTTGTAAATTAGTCAGGCCACAGGCTGATATTATATTCGTAACAGGTAACATGTTAAGGTCAGTCTGACACATTTGAACACAGACTCGGTCCGTTAAGACCAAAGCTCAGCTCGGCTCGACTCGTTAACACCCCTACTTATACTGATAGGACTAGTCCCGTCAATGATACTGACGGGACTCATGCCACATCAGTGCCACATAGACAGTACCATTACTGTAAAACTTCGAAAGGCCATAACTTTTGACTTGGATGATTTTTTTTATTTCACACAACTTTTCAAGATGTACACAATGACACCTTATTTGACATATTTTATCTCCCATAAACATAGTTTGAATTTGCAACAATAGTTCCAGAGTTACAATATCATTTAAATTCAGAAGATCCTGAGTTCTTTCTGAACCCACACCATGAGCTGCCGCATGTGTCATCTTCTGGATTTAAACGCTCTTGTGATTGTGTGGTACAATTGTTACAAATTCAAACTATGTTTGTGGGAGTTAAAATATGTCAAATAAGGTGTCATTGCATAAATCTCAAAAAGTTATGTGAAATAAAAAAAAAATCTGATTTGGATACCCAAGTCAAAAGTTATAGCTTTTTGAAATTTTACGTTAATGAGACTGCCTATGTGACGCTGATGTGGCACGAGTCCCGTCAGTATTATTGACTTGACTAGTCCCGTCAGTATAAGTGACATGTTTGACTGCATTAATTTAAAAAAATTTATCCAATCAATTTTAACTGGGCAATTCTTTTGTCCAAAAATTTTAAATGGTGTTTTTCCCTCCTTAACAGATATAAATAGATAAAAATAATTTTTTTAATATAAATTCATTTAATCTTTTAAAATTTATTTTAATTTTTTTTACATATTTAAATATAAAAAAAATATTTGTCATTTTAAACGACATAAAGTTATGTCATTTTAAGAGAGAGATAGACACAAGAAAATTTTTTTTATTTAAATTTTAAATTAAATAAAAATCACCAACCTTCTCTCCAATAATTTTCATTCCTTGTATTTATCTCTTTTTTAAAATGACATAATTTATGTCTTTTAAAATGACAAATACCAAACCCTTTAAATATTAATTTTTATTTTAAATTATTTAAAACTTTTAAAAATCACAAATTTAAATAAAACATATTAAAGTACATAAAGTGTTAACAAAATTTTCAAAATTAAATTTTTATCAAATAAATGTTTAAAGCAAAAAAAAAAAGTGAATATTGTGGCTAACCGATAATGATAATACTGGCAATTTTGCATAGGACATACAAGATTAGTCCTGGATAAATGAAATGTATGATTGTGTTATATTGATATTATGTTTAAAGATTACATTATTTAAAAAATGGGTTTTATTTTTCTCATGTTGTATGATACAATTTTTCTCATACAACATGCAAAAAAGGGGGTGTGACTTATTTTTTTGTTTTCTCTCTCTTTTTTTTAGTGGGTCTCATCCACTTTTTTGTGTGTTGCATGAGACAATTTATTTCATGCAACATAAGAAAAATAAAACCCTTTAAAAATTATTTTTGAAAAATGCATAAAAGATCGTTTAGCCAAAATTTACTCTTCAGACATTTGTAAGCAAGAAAATGAAAAGTAAAGTTCACTTCCAAACGCACAATTGTCTCATTAGCATTGTCTTCTAGGAAGAACCAGAGCACAAAATGATTGTTATGTACAAAGTACACACTAACACTCGCCATGCTTGTCACAAAAATGAAAACTTTTTTTTTTTTTTGGTAAAGCAAAAATGAAAACTTAAACCAAATTCATATTATATACTTTTGAATATATAAAAAAAGTAAATTTTAAATTTATATCAATATACTAACTTGTCATCATCTTAAAAATTGACATCCTCTTCTATAATTAAAAGATAAAATACTTTCATTATTTTATTTAAAATTTAACTAGGCTAACAAAGACAACTTAAAAAGTCACTAGATTTAGTCTAGTGGTGAGAGGCTTTAAGTAGTTGTATTAGATTATCTATTCAATTTCTATTTATATCCAAAAAAGAAAGACAACTTAAAAAGGTAACAAAAGATATGTTATAAATAACAAAGATGAAATGGATTGATTCTAAATTCAGTTTGATGAAAGAAAAATTGCCCCTTTCCCACGAGATGGATAAAATTAATGTTATAAAAACTGAACCGATCGGGTCGGGTTGACCCGAAAAGCAGTGAACCGGTCATGTAATCAGTCTGATTTTCATATTGGACCGGCTATGTTACAGAATCGGTGTGACCCGGTACGACCCGGTCGATTTTCGTAAAAACTGATGACCCGGCCCGGTCTATAAAAAAAAAAAACTAATTTATTTTCATAAATTAATGTTTTTTTTTTTTTTACTCTCAAACACAAATGATTTATTTTCTTTTGAAATATTCGAGTGATTTGTAGCTTATTAACTTACATAGATTATACACTTACAACACTAATATTATCTTGATTATGCAATATGCAAGAAATTTTAATTTGATTTATAGTTAGAAATGTCGTTTACTGAACCTGAAACTCTAGTATCACAAATATTATATATTTGATTGATCTTTTGTTGGACAATAATGTGTAATTTATTATTTTCATATTAAGATATTTGAAATTGGTATATTTTTTTACAAGTATTTAAGTATATTTATAGTTTTTTAATATAAATTATAGATTTACATATACTTATCGGGTCATGCAGTTGAACAAGTGACCCACTAGTTCAACCAGTGACCCAGTACCTCGACCGGATCAATAATCGGGCCGAATTTAATAATATTGGATAAAATTGCTGATAGCAATATAGCATGATTGGATTAACATAATACGTAAAATTTTGATTAAATTAGCTTAAACATAAAATAAATTAATGTAAATCATATGGACCAGGTTTAACTCAGCCTAAAAACATTTTAACACAGTTTATCAACAAACAAAAAAGAGAGAGCATAAAAGACATGACCAGATCAATGACATAAAATTTCAAAAATAAAAATAAAATTAAAACATATTTTATAATAATATTTTGAAAAAAAATATATTAATATAAAAATTATATTATTTTACATAAAAGCATTAATTTTAAGTTAATATTTTCTTTGATTTTTTCCTATATATTTTTTTTAAAAAAATACATGTTGCTGCGGTTTCAAATTTGGATTAATCGGCTGCACTGATCGAATATCGAGATTTATTAAAAAAAAGTCATATAATATTGAATCAAAATTTAATCTCATTTATTTTAGCTCGAGTGAAGTTATTGTACCTGATAAAATTTTGAACACCCTTTTTTTAATAAAAAAGAAAAAATACCTTAAAACAAAAATATATGGTTATTTACTTATTGGCAAAATTATTTCTGACTACCTTTACGAAAGAAATATTTTTGTATGTTACACTTACATACACATTTTTGTCGGACCCGTCAATGGATCTTGATTAAAAAAAAATGAGATCAGCCGGCGGATCCCAGTGAATATATATTTGTGGTAGATAAATTTTTCCTGACACAAAAAAATTGAACCTTTCTTATTTATAGAAAACGTAATGACTTAAGCAAGCACAATGTAGAGTAAACATAAAGTTGTCGTGTAATAATCTAATCTAGTTATTTATATTTGATTGTATGAAGTGTTTCCTGCAACAAATAATTTAAGAAAAAATATTGCGGAGTGAACAGAAGAGGATGCTTGTCAAACCACACCTTGCTAGCTTCGTGTTTTATGATTTAGACATGGAATGAAGTTGATTGAACCTGAACCTGGTGGTGTTGTGTGAGAGGCTGAGTTAACCAAACCAAAAAAATGATGTTCAAGCAAAAGCTTCGCCAAGCCATTGATCTTCTGTACTCTTCTGGCCCTGCTTCTGTAGATGACTATACTCGTCTTGTACTTCATTGTGCTCGTGCCAGTGACTTCATTCAAGCCAAGAGATTGCAGTGTCACATGGAATCTCACCTTTTTCAACCCAAAGACTCCTTCATCCACAACCAACTCCTCCATTTGTATGCCAAATGTGGCAAGCTCTCACATGCTCAAAACCTGTTTGATAACATGTCTAAGAGAGATGTTTATTCTTGGAATGCCTTGCTTTCTGCTTATGCCAAGTTGGGCTTGGTTGAGGACTTGCATGCAGTCTTTGATCAAATGCCTTATCGTGATTCCGTTTCATATAACACATTGATTGCGTGTTTTGCAAGTAATAGGCATTCAAGCAAAGCATTGAAAGTTCTAGTGAGCATGCAGGAAGATGGGTTTCAGCCCACACAGTACTCCTATGTGAATGCGTTGCAAGCATGTTCTCAGCTCTTGGATTTCAGGCATGGGAAACAGATTCATGGGAGGGTTGTTGTTGCTGACTTTGGGAAGAATACTTTTGTATGGAATGCTTTGACTGATATGTATGCCAAGTGTGGTGATGTAGATAGAGCGCGGTGGTTGTTTGATGGAATGATTCATAAGAATGTTGTTTCATGGAATCTCATGATCTCTGGGTATGTGAAAATGGGGAACCCTGATGTGTGCATTCATTTGTTTAATGAGATGCAGTTATCAGGTTTGAAACCTGACCAAGTTACGGTTTCAAATGTTCTCAATGCTTTCTTTCAATGCGGACGTGTAGATGATGCGAGGAATATGTTTAGTGAAATGCCCAAAAAGGATGAGATTTGTTGGACAACAATGATAGTTGGTTATGCACAAAATGGAAGAGAGGAGGATGCTTTGATGTTGTTTGCTGACATGCTACGCGGAAATGTTAGTCCTGACAGTTACACCATTTCAAGTGTGGTCAGCTCCTGCGCCAAGCTAGCTTCTTTGAATCACGGTCAAGTTGTCCACGGAAAAGTAATTCTTATGGGTGTTGATGATAACATGCTTGTGTCGACTGCCCTTGTAGATATGTACTGCAAGTGTGGAGTCACTTTGGATGCTTGGATTATTTTTGAAACTATGCCTATTCGGAATGTGATTACTTGGAATGCCATGATTCAGGGTTATGCACAAAATGGACAGGTTCCGGAGGCCTTGGCCCTGTATGAAAAAATGCTGCAAGAAAATTTCAAACCTGATAATATTAGTTTTGTGGGTGTTTTATCTGCATGTGTCAATGCTGAGATGGTCGAAGAAGGACAGAAGTGTTTTGATTCAATCCGAGAACAAGGAATGACACCCACATTGGATCACTATGGATGTATGATCACTCTTCTTGGTCGGTCAGGTAAAATCGATAAAGCAGTGGATCTGATCAAAAGTATGCCTCATGAACCAGATTACCGGATATGGTCCACCTTACTATCTGTTTGTACCAAGGGTGACATAAAGAATGCAGAGTTGGCAGCTAGTCATCTCTTTGAATTGGATCAACATAATGCTGGACCTTATATCATGCTTTCCAACTTGTATGCTGCTTGTGGGAGATGGAAAGATGTAGCTGCTGTAAGATCTCTCATGAAGAACAGAAATGCAAAGAAGTTTGCTGCGTACAGTTGGGTTGAGATTGAGAATGAAGTCCACAGATTTGTTTCAGAAGATCGCACTCATCCAGAAGTGAAAAGAATCTATGGTGAATTGAACAAATTGATCTCAATATTGCAACAAATTGGGTATAATCCGGATACTAATGTTGTTCTACATAATGTGGGGGAGGAAGAAAAGTTTAGATCCATCTCTTACCACAGTGAGAAACTTGCTCTTGCGTTTGCTTTAATTAGAAAGCCCAATGGAGTTGCACCGATACGGATCATAAAGAATATACGGGTCTGTGATGACTGCCATGTATTTATGAAGTTCGCATCAATTACTATAGCACGGCCAATCATTATGAGAGATTCAAACAGGTTTCATCATTTCTTTGGTGGGAAGTGCTCTTGCAAGGACCTTTGGTAAAGTCTTAATCAGATGGTAATCTACTGTGCTTTAACTGTTTCCAGAAGGAAGGGTGATAGCAATGTAATATGCACTTTGTATTCTTTCTAGTAGTTTTTGATACAAGGGAAAAATATATGATATAGTTCGAGGCTCCAAGGATTAGAGCAGCTGTACAGCATGAGAATATTAAGTGAGAAGAACAGCAATACTTTGATGAAAAATTCTTGTGACATAGCAATGCAGCATAAGATGTTTTGGACTAATAAACAGGTATACACTGAGTTCAGTGATCAATACTTGACATTGAAAGAGCAGGTAGAGCCTTGAAAGAAAGTGTCCAGAAAAGTATCAAATGCTCATAACTTGCTGGGAAATTGGGGCTAAAAATTGTTTGACATATGCTGTATGAACTCAATATTGTGGCTGAGGCAATTACTTGCTTCTTAAGGTAAATTTGAATTATGATTATACATATTCCAAAAGCATTAAATAATTTCTATTAATAAAGAAAATGGTCAAGTTGTAATGTTGTATGACAACATTGTATTTAAGGTGAAACTCTCTAAGTTCCATCACCTTCAATTGTTCTAATTTTTCTTCTTTCTATTCCTAGCTGCTAACTTTTAGTTTCTGCTTCATATCATTGATTAGAATACACATTCTTTTGTTTTTATCATTTTTATATTTTATAACTGATCTGTGATCATATATTACTATTTACAGGCTGATGATAGACATAATTCGCCATGAAGCAATTTAATGTTTTTAAGAATACTGTCATTAATGTATGAGTGGATATCAGTTTTCTATAACATCATTGACAGTGTCAAGTTTCTGGTAGATCTGCGGTAAGGGAAACAAGAATTCTAAATTGTATTTTGTGTCCATAAGAAGGCAACTTGAAGTAAACTACTAACATGGACAATTTGAGAGCATTTATGTAACGTTCTTTATTTCGATTGCCTCTTTACAATGGTAAAAATGAAAGGATAACTTGGTGATAACTTTATTAGGGATGAAGATAGCACCACCTGAGCTTGATTGGACCTTAAATCTTCAGCTCCAGTACCAATGCCTGTTGATCTCCGCCAAAGGTTCCAGGCATTTGACTCATGCAATAGATATCTAATCAACTGCGAGGTGGTCCTGAAAGCTCTTTTAGAGTAAGTAATGCATAAAAAAGTTTCACTTTCAAACCTCATTCTTAAATAATTTTGATTAATGATTATCCTTGTGAAGTTTAAAATACATGCTTTGGTTAAACATGATTATAAAAGTAGGGGTTTTAGGATCCATTGATACCATTGTAAATCAAATTTAATATTTTGTATTATGAATGTTTTCAATAATTCATTGGATTGGATTGAATTTTACCTTGTATGCTAAAAAATCATATGGGTTCATCCACATGGTCCTTTTTTAGTCCTTTTCCCCTTCATTTCCCCCTCTTCTTCTTTTCCCTTTCTTTTTTACTTACTTATATATATATATATATATATATATATATATATATATATTATTACTATTCTATTTATTTATTTTTATTTTTATTTTTATTCAACCTTTTTATATCTTTCATTTGGGTTCATCTACCACCGACTCCAATTAATTTGGGATAAAGGTGTTGTTGATGTTGATGTTGATATTGATGCTAAAAAAATATCTTATCTATTTTTTTTTTTTAAATTCTAAACATGGTGATTACGTATAATTCAACAATTGGATTTATATGAATCAATTTCTATGACGAGTTATCGGATGGAGTAAGTTTATCAAGTCTTACATACGATTCCATGGATACTATTCCTAATTTGAATGAGTTGGCATTATAAAAATATCTTTTAATAAAGAATTGATATAATTCTTCAAAAAATGTCATATGATATTAATTTTTATAAAAATTTATTGATCAGTGTGTCCAAAACATAAATTAATCTTTATAAAAATAAAAATATTCAATATTTTAAAAATTAATATATTGAAAAAAAATTATTTTAATATACTAATATTAAAATAATATATTAATTTTTTAAAATTACACTGGTCAACGATATTAATACACCAACCTCTTATCAGGCCTTATTCCTCCCCCTTAGGTCGGATTAAGTTATACATCGTTTTGATGTATTAAGAGATCATGCTGTATAAGCTTATACTATACGATGGTCACACCAAACAACTGAAAATGTCATAACGTATAGTATAAGCCTATGCTATTAGGCCTTATACGTCACACCAAACGTCACACCAAATAGGCCCTAACTGCTACCATATCTTCAGTCATGGTGTTCAGTCCTGACAAACAGTTTCTTGGTGGCAAAATCCTGTTCTCACTCATTTCCCCCCTATACCTCTTTCTAGTTTTTTGTATTTGGTGTTTGATGCCTTTTTGTTTGACTCTCATCACTCTGCTATGAAATACCAAATTATTTTGGTTTGATCTCTTCTCAAGTCAGTAATCTATATGTCTGGCATTGTTGGCAAATTAAATATCCCGTATGTGCAACCAATTAATTTGTTATTAATATAATGCTTGTGGTTCATGCTATATAAGAGAAAGTGTGCTATTTAAAAAATTTACAGAGAACATTTTCTTTTTCAAGATAGATACTCCATAAGTATGGGGTTTCGCCAATCTAATTTATAAGATATATCCCGCCACTGATATAATTACATGTCATGAAATCACAATCACATTGAATCAAGGATCTTGGAGATTTTCTGGATGTTATCTTAGAGGTATCTTGAAAAGAGGCATAGAAAGTGCATCTGGTGAAGATTCAATAATTTTGTTCAGCTCTTTTATTTATTTTATTTTGGAGCTTCACTTATAAGCATGCTGCTTTTGGTTGAGTTCCATTAAACTAATCAGAGACCGAATGCCAACATTATGTATGTGTAATACTAGTATCCTTTATTGCTTTCCTTGCTGTGGACTGTGATTAATCTATCAGTTTGCCCTGCTGTTCGTGCTATCTCAATATAATCCATGTAATATCTGTCTAATTTTATAGTAATCATTTTTGTTGATTGAGGATTACTGTGAACTTCACAGTAATCCTCAATCATTTTATACCCTGTGGACTGGAGGGCTTCGATTTGCTGCATAGAAATCATTTTCAGGTTACTGGCATAGGAACGCTTTATTTATGTAAGGTCAAGGAGTAAATGCCTATTTTTGAATCACTGCCAGGCCAATTTTATTAAAATCTTTGTTATATTTTAACCTTAATATTAGATATCTACCAAAAATAGTTTTATCCGGTTTATATGGCTGCTGCTCCTAAAGAAGGGCTCAGGGAGAGGAAGGAACACTGATGATAACTGTATTCTGCTTATTTGTGAGGATTGAAACAAATCTTTTTGACTAATGAGGATATGTTGGATACTTGAATGTTAATTTAGTAGTTTGTTATTGTTTAGAAAACGTAAAAAAATTCACCATGAGAGTAGGAAAGATATGAAGATATTATCATCAATTGTAATTATTTAGTCTACCAAAAAAAAATTGTAATTATTTATATGAACTTATATATTGATCTAAAACAAGTAATTCGGCCCTTTCTATATGACTTGTGTCTGTTTGCTTCGTTTTGTGCATAGTAATGCGTTCTAAATTGATCTAAAATAAATAATTGGGCCCGTTTTCTCTGTCTCTCTCTTTTTTGGTTTGGGTGTACTATTCGGCCCGATCATTACCATTAATCATGCTTTTCTTTATGCTTGCTAATAAGATTAAATTGTTGGGATAGGATATTGTAACAATCAAGTAGTGTTATTACCAAGTAATTTTATCGTTAGATCGATTATGTTAATTCAATGGTTATATTTATTTTCATCTTTGTATCGTTATGATTCCCCATATTTAATACTTTATATTTATTTTCAACTTTATATGGTTATGATTTTTCATATTCAATGTTTTCACTTTAAATATGGAAAATCATAACCATACAAAGATGAAAATAAATATAACTGTTAGATCCATATAATCGATCTAACGGTGAAATTGATTGGTAACAACACTACTTGATTGTTACAATATCCTTCCCCTAAATTGTTTCAACAAAAATTAAAGAAAATAGAGAGGTTATATTAATCTTATTTGTATAGGTTTTTGGTAAGATCGAATATTTTCGATTCAAAGGTATTGTCTTGATTATTGTTGGTAATCATTCATTGTTAGGTTATATGCAAGAATTATTATTTATTATTAAGTTCTTGCTAAGACTTGCTATAACTTTCGAATGGGATAACTTTTCCTGCTTTTGAACTTTATATTATCAATTAAAAAAAATTCTAGATAGTATAATTTTTTTTTTGGTGTGGAGATAGTATAATTTTTTTTATTTTTTTTGTAAATTGGAGATAGTATAATTAAACCATAACATTAAAATACAAACATCCATTTATAAGATTTTAATAATTTATTTTTAATAAATGTTCAAATTGATTCTTGAAAGATATATAAAACATCAAGATGACTTTTTAAAGCTTTTACACTAATTTAGTTCTTTATAATGTAAAAATAATTAATCTTTAAATATACATTTAAAGGATAGATTGATTTTTATTTTAAACATTACAATATTGAATCAATATCTAAAATTTTTAAAAATTAAATTGAGGTCTCTTATATTTCTATTTTTTACATATATATGTGTGTGTGTGTGTGTGTGTGGGATTTGCATTCATCATGCAACATGACAACAAAATTTTCTACACACACAACATTTTGTGGGACCCGCATTTTTTTAAACAAAAAAAACAAAAAAAACTACAGCACGGAAAATGAATCTCTATAACATAACACAATCATTTTTCCTACAACATAACTTTTATAAAACTATATATATATATAGGGAAAAAAGTTTCCGATGTTACTTTAGATAACTTTATCTAATGTTCATCGAAACGACGTCGTTTTGGGGTTGAAAAATTATAAAATTAAAGTGATAAAGACTATTATAACCCTGAAATTAATTAAAATTACAAAAATACCATGATTTCCGTCCAAA